TCTGGTTAGCAGGCAAGTGTCTTAGCCACTATGCTCCTAAATCTTTTGAATTTCTTCTTACTAAGTTCTATTATCTGTTCTTCCTTGGAGATATTTCCCAGTTCTGTATTTTGATCACTTCCTTCTACTATGTTGTCCTGCTTCTTTGTTTGAATTGAAGTTGTCTTTTGTCTCTGAGAAATTTTGAAGTTGTTTTTATTGATTGTGTGTTGGTTTGTTTCAGTATATCCAGATGAGTATGCAGGTGGGCTTCTTTGGTTGTTAACTTGGCAGCACTGAGGCACTCCCCAGGTATCTCCAGATTGGTGGAATAATTGATGGGAATGTGCATGTGGGTCTCTGTTTATGTGAAGAGGAGCTGCAGTTGGGATGAACAAGTGTTGTCCACTGTCTGTTGTTGAGCAAGTGGTATAGGAGCTGATATTGGAGCTTGTCCTTTGGGTGAGGTAGTTGATGCAGTAGAAAGAGCTGGCTAATGGAGAGTTAATGTCCTCCTCCTGTTGGGTGTGGCAATAAAAGTTGTGTGTGGGGGGGGTACCCAAGGGGAAGAAGAAGAGAAGGAAAAGGGGAAGATATAGAAAAAAAAGAAAAAGGCAGGTGGTCAAGCTTGAATGCCTCCTGATCCGTCTACCCTGTGTTGCTATCACTGTGTGGATTCTGTAAAGTTGTACCCCCCCACCAAATCACTGTCTATGTCTCTTTTCAAAATGCCCCCATTTCCTACGGTCCTGGCCTCTTCTTTACCAGTCACTGATCTCACTCCATTTCCCTTTCCAATCAGTGCTCAATCTACTTCTTTGTCTTCTCTTTTGATGCTCAGCATTCCAGAATCATTATTTGTACTTGTGACATTCATTTTCCCAGATCTCTGTTGTAGAGGGTTTTGGTGGAATATGTTAGCAGGATGCCATCTTGTCTCTACCCCTTCCATGTGAATTTTGCAAAATCAATGAAGACAACCAAATATAGGCCTCAAATGATACATAGAGCAGTGCCTCACACTCACCTGGCCACCACTTGAGGGAAACCTGGCATCAATGGGTCCATGCCTTGTTCTCTAGATACATTTTTATATAAAATAATCATAATTCCAAGCAGAAATGGATAAAGGCTACAAAAGCTATACATAAAAAAATTATCATGGGCATTCTGAATACAAAAAGGTAATGTCTATGAGGAGAAATTGGGAAGTGTTTCACTGAGAAGAGGACATTTGAGCTATTAATTGGACTTTATTCCAGAACTGATATTAGTCAGGCCTATTTTGTCACTTAAGATTGTATTTATCACTGATGGTTTATTACACTTCTTAAGAAGTTAGGTATACTACTACTTATATTAGTCCTGAATCTTTTGTACCTGGAGGCTAAGTAATACACAGTTTTCAAGAGAGTTGCAATAAAAGTAATAATTGTATGTTAGACTCTCTTGAGTACTCAAGATTTCATTTGCAAATAATAACATATCCTTTAGAATATTCTGACCATAGATCATCTTTTAAATTTTTTTTATTTTCTTTGTTTTAGGGATTGAGTCCTGGCTGTTATGATACCTATAATGCAGACATAGACTGCCAGTGGATTGATATTACAGATGTAAAACCAGGAAACTACATTCTAAAGGTAGTGATCTTTGAAAATATGTATTTGTTATTTATTTGGATTGCAGATCTATAATGCCCTCTCTTTTGGATGCAGATGTTAAATAATCATGGTCCTGAAGGCAACTATAGTTATTTAGCACCACTTCTCCAGGAGCTCTGGTGATGTAGTGGTTAAGGCATTTGGGTTGCTGGTCAGTGGTTCGAACTGACCACCCACTCTGTGGCAGAAAGGTGAGGCAGTCTGCTTCCATAAAGATTTACAGCCTTGGAAACCCAATGGGGGTTGCTATGAGTCAGAATCAATTCGATGGCATTGAATTTTGAGTGAATGAGAACTACTTCTAAACTAACCTAGATATATGAAGAAATACTTTAAAGTGCTTCAGAGAAAAACATATGAACTACCTCTCTGCAGAGTTTGACTACTTGACCCCTCCCCACTTGATTTAGTTAAATCGTACTTTGTTGTCCTAGCCCCTGTGAATAGAGATAAATCGATCAATAAATATTGATGGTGAAATCAGAAACATAAATGCTGTTTGTCTTGCCTAGGTCAGTGTGAACCCCAGCTACCTGGTGCCTGAGTCGGACTATACCAACAATGTTGTACGCTGTGATATACGCTACACAGGACATCATGCATATGCCTCGGGCTGCACAATTTCACCGTAAGTCCTAATTTCTTCATAAAGAGTATTAGTTTGCCAAACAGCATTACCCCTGACTCATGTCTGTTCCTGTATGTTCATGTATGAACTACTGTGCCTTCCTTATAAAACAGACCAAAAGTAGAAAATGGTATAGAGTCTGTGCTATCACATACTTAAAACTGTTCCTTTTTTAATAAAGCTAATGAAGAGGGGAGGGAGTAAAGCTTTTATCATGCTGAATCTTAGTTTTCAAACCAAGACATAAACACAGAACATAATCTTTATCCAGAAAGCCTATGTGGAGGCCCAGTATGAAGAGTTGCTCAGTATGCAGTGTTTGTGGCCTTGTGGGAACCCTCATAATGAGTTTCCTGCCCCCTTCCCAGCAGCAATAGTCCCTGCAGCTCTAAACACATTTCTAGGGTTCTTTAAAGTATATTTTGAAGATCACTGCCTTAAAGCATGCAGCCAAAGAAATCAGCATCCCTTTTCTCTAAAAATCAAGATTTCATGTATTTGAGTTCTAAGACTATGGGTACTAGAAGGAGAGGATTCCTTCATATTTTATCCAGTCCTGAAACCTTCCTTTGAATGAAATCTTCATAGGAATCACAGCATATAAAATGTTAAGGGAGGTGAAAGGAATTAAATAAAGTTGGGTAGGTTTGCTTATTTCTCTGTTCTGCTCTGACACCTTAAGTACCCCTTAAGCTTGCTCTAGTGTTGCTGGGTAATGGATCATAACTATATATGCTACCTATGAGTTACACCTTGCCAAAAAATGTGTCATAAGAATGATACTGAACATGTATGCACGTTAGCTTTGTTTTGATGTTGATGAGGCATCAGAACCTCTGGCATGCAGAAAGGTGTAGCAAAGCTATACTAGAAATTCATAATTAATAGAAGCTTCTCCCTAATACAAAATGTGAGAAAATGGTTTGCTGCACATGAATATCACCTAAACATTACTATGTAGGTTTTTCCCTTCACCTGGGTTCCTTGCTTGGGGATGTTATTGTTGGTAGGTGTCATCGAGTCTGCTCCAACTCATAGCTACCCTGTGTACAGCATAACATAGGGATAAGTGTGGCTAAAAATATACCATGTTCCATCCTCAGAACCTTGCACTTTGGCTCAGAGCTGCATTCACTCTGAAGGGGCCTCCTTTCCTTGTTCACACGAAGGACCAGAGCCTGTACTTTACAGATGTTTACCACAGCATAAGAAATAGGTGAAGCTGGTGGCGTAGGGCCTAAGGCACTTGACTGTTAACCAGGAGGCTGGTGATTCAAACCCATCAGCCACTCCTTTGGAAGGAAGATTGGGCAATCTACTTCCATAGTGATGCTGCCTCGGAAACTCAAGGAGGGGTTGCCATGAGTTGGATCCGACTTGATGGCAGTGAGTTTGGTTTTTTTGGATGACCGTGAAGGGGGTAACACTGCAAAAAGACAATCAAATGTATTCTGAACATGCCCACAACACAAAACTTGGCTCATTTTATGGCCCATATTGTGTGGAGTTGCTCATACTATAACCGAAACCCCCAGAACATCAGCTCAATTTAAGCTGAAATAAATTGATCAAATCATTTATTTTTTGTAATCCCTTCATTTATTCACTCATTCTCCATTAATTTATTTACGTACATTTTCATTTATGCACCATGAGTTTTTTGAAGTCCTGAACTCGACATTAGAGGGTGATATAAAGATAAATATGACTCCTGGAACCTTGGCTGCTTTTTTTTTTTTTGGTAGCCTTATTATATTAATTCCAATTAATTATTCGTGAATCTCTTTGTTTACTGTTTGCCTTTTCTGCTGCACTCCATGATGACTAGGATCTAGTCTCTTGTCCATTGTCCATTGCTATATGCCCCGTGCTATCATAGGTCTGCTACCTTGTAGCTTCTCATTCAATGTTTGATTAATTAATGAATTATCTTCTCTCTCAAAGAGTTTGCATTTGAGTAAGAGCATGAGAGAAATACATGTATAACTGTAATACAAATACAACATACAAAGTTCAAGGAGAGGTAGAATGAAATATAGTTGGAACAGAAGGACCTCTTCTCTAATAAGCTAGGTGACTCTCAGGACTGCTGGCCTCTTACTAGGAACAGTTCTGGAGAGGGGAACTCTGTTATTGCATAAAATGTGCCTTACTTTCTACCAGTACACTCCATTGTCAGGTGTTTAGAACAAATAGTGTTAGTGTTCCAGGAATATTATGACTCTACATGACAGATTCCTGTAACCTGCGCTCATGACACAGTATGTCTCTTCTGACACAAAGATCAGTCAGCCACTGTGACTGAAACTCAGCAACATCTTGGTTATTTGCTATGGCCATCCCATAGAGTTGCTTATTTTTGTCAGTTGTCACTGAGGGTAACTAAACTGTAAGAACAGCTGAGGTGGAATTTTTTAAATATATTGATTGGATTTAAATATGAAATAGTGAAGTTATCCACAGTTGAAGATTCATAAGAAAATGTTAAGGTTATTCTATGAGTTAAAAAAAAATAGAACAAGTACAAAACACTTGACTCAGGAAAACAACAACAAACAAAGAAAACAACAAGGAGAATGGTATTTGCTGCTTGTATTTTGACTTTCATCTCAGGCCTCTGTTGCTGAGACTCAGAGTTCAGAGGAAGGAGAGATTCCTTTGGCTTTTAGGATGGAATTTGGATTGAGCCTTGAGGACTGAGGAGGACTGCATTAGGGAGAGATTAAGGGAAGATTTCCTGGGAGGAGCTACCAGTCAGGCAACTACATGGCAGGAGGATAGTGCAGGGTATGCTTGGAAAAGCAGATCTTCCAGTTTGGCTAAAGCATTTTTGATAGAGTTAAGAGTTAGACAAGAAGGATGGAAAAGATGGCGTTAGATTAAAGAGAGTATTACTTAGCAAGCTAAATGTTTGAACTTAATTCTGGAGATGGGAAGTTCTTAACGTTTCTTGAGCAAAGGGTATGACATCTAAAGCTGTGTCGTCAGTGTGAGAGCAGCATAAGCAGCAGTACGTGTATGATTGTGGTGGTAGCATTACTATATTGGACATAGAGCTTCTCTTGGTTCACTGATTATTTTTCATGTCAATCAAATATTAGAGAATATTCAAACCAAACCAGTTGTTACCAAATCAACTCTGACTCATGATGATCCCTGTGTGTAAGAACAGAACTGTGCTGCTTCACAGGGTTATCAAAGCTGTGACCTTTTGGAAGCAGAGTACCAGGTCTTTCTTTCATGGGGTCTCTGGATGGGTTTGAGACTCCAACTTTTGGGTTGTGGTTGAGTGCTTAACCATATGTGCCATCCAGAGAGAGAACATACAGTTTGTGTGTAAAACCACCCAGGAAGTAATTATGTGCCTTCAATGTATCTTCTTTCCCTCATTTTCCTCCTTGTGAATGAAAGATAGCCACCAGGTGATAATTGAGGCCTCTTTTAGTTATAAGATACTACAAATTATGTTCTTTACTCCTCACAGAACTTGCTGCTTGGAAATTGATGGTTTATGATTTGGACTAAGTGCGTTCTTAATTCCTTTACATGAGCATCTATACTCAAAGTTTAAATATGACAATATTTGATTTATTGGCTTTGGCACGCTTTCTGCCTATTAATAGCAGAATTCTAAAACCCTACTGGAAAAAGACTAATGTAAGAAGGTACACAGTCCATGACCCTGCTGCTTGCTGGACAAACCATACTTATTTCGCAAATGAACTGACCTGGTCAAGGCCTCCAATCTCATAAGTCCTACTTTTGCTTTTTTCATTCTTTCAGAGATTGTTTCTTTGAACCTGAATGTCAGGACTCTGGGGATCAGACATATACTCTGTGCTATTGACATAGAGTCACTTTCTTCAAATCATTATTTAAAATAATATATATGTGGATATTTTCATGAAGCAACTATTTCTTAGATGGAGGGAAATTGCTACATAAACTTTAAAAAAGATTGACTTTAAATTTGTCTACTGTACTCAATCTTATCAGGTTAATGATTTGTTCTTTTTCTTTCGCTTTTAAATCTAGGTATTAGAAAGCAAGCCAAAGCTCCCAATGGATGAATCAGTGCCTGGTGTTCTGAAGTGGGAAAAAAGAAATTAAGTTCAGTAGGATTTATGTATTTAGAAAAAAGAGAGGAGAAAACAACAAAGGGATTTTTGTTAGAACTGTTTTATAACAAGCACATAACTGGATTCTGAACATTTAAATCGGCATTATTTGGGAAATTTTTAATACTTATTATTCACATGACTTTGTGAATTAACATAATGTTTCTATTCTGTAGTGGCATACTAGGCTCTTTCAAAGAAATTAATATTTCTTGTGCTTCCTTGGACATAATAGTGCAAAAGAGAGAACATTTCATTGAATGAGCCAAAATTATTTGAGTTGAAAATTTTCTAAAGTGCTGACACTTCAGTGAGACATAATAATAACTGGCATATATATGTCCTAGTATAGATTAAATTAGAAATGATGCTCCTACTGTTTAAACATATATGGACACATTTGGTGCTGAGGAAGGAACAAATACATTATCATTGGTGTCACAAAATATTACTATATAGCAGAGAATGGCGCAGTATATATATTCAGATAGTTACATCCCTATATAAAATTATATGTTTACATTTTTAAATTAGTAGATAAACTCCTTTCTTTCTGTCAAGTGCACAATTTCATTCTAACTTAAGTCAGCTTTTGTTTAGGAATGAACTAAGTAATGGAGCTGCCCAATTCCTATCTGACATTTGTTGATGCTCCCCTCTACTTTCATTTTTCCTATGTGCAGAGATGTTTTAAGTGGCATTCTTATTTTACCATTCTGGGGACTGGTATATGTAGGAGAACTGTGTAAATGGACAGTCATTTTGATGATAGATGTGACATATCCACAGAGAATATGAATTTAATCATATTGAAGTATTAATCAAAAAGAAATTTCCTCACTGACATAAAAATCATAGAAAGATGTCCCACAAACCACAACTATCTCTCAAATACTTTAAGATAATCAATGAAAAGATCTTAACATTTTAAATCTTTATACATTCATCATATGTTCAGCTATTAAAAAGAGGGATGCTAAAGAATGGTAAATTATTCAGAATATATTATGTAATATGTGTGCAATACAGGAACATCATTCTGTGTCATTCAGGAATCCATCATACATGATTATTTGTGTGTGTATGTGTGAAATATTGTCCAAATTAACAAAGCACATAGCACACCTGAGGTGTTGGTGAGCAAGAGAGAATACTTTCTGCAAAGCCAAGGACTGTGCTGCATAGTGAGACATCTGTGATTTTATTTTAAACTGTGAAATCATATGCCTTGATAATTTGGAGAATTTCTTTTTCCTGAAATCTAAAAGATGCAGAAAGAAATCAAATTACACTTTTAAGTTAATGGTGCTTAAGCAAAAGTTTTTCATACATTAACCAGTATTAAACTCTCAAGTAAGATATTTCCAGTGCCAGAACAAGTTAGATAGAATTTTAAAAGTGAGTTACCATTCTTGTGTAATACGTGATAGAATTGAAAAGTCAACAACAGTTACTAACGAACATTCTGTGCTGGGTGGGCGCAGAGCACGCTAAGAGAGGCTAGAGATGGACAGTCTTCAAGGGGCAATACACACCCTTACCGTTATCCACCGGGGCACACACCAATTGAGAATGCAGACAGCTTAATAGGGACCCAGAACTTTCTTTGAACCATCATTTGAGTTATGGAATGTCTTTAATGTACTTCCTTGCCTTAAATTGCTTTATAGCTTTAAGATTGTGGAATGAGCCTTTCAAAATTGTAATCTTTTCTAATAGAGATATTTTAATATACTTGCTTTTCTTTTTTACAAAAACAAAAACTACTGTCAGTATTAATACTGAGCCAGACTGGCATCTTCAGATTAATGATCTATTGTTTCATTAAGATTATTATTACAGAATTAAAAACTAACACATACAATGACCTTTGGATACATATGAGACACATTCATAATAAGGCTTTGGGCTTTCTATCTTTGATGATGATCATTTGAGGGCCTAATATATGCTAGGCATTGGGACATAAAAAAGACTATCCCTAACCTTAGTAAGTATAAAGAAATGATATCCATTAAGCTCACCTGATTTTATTTTTGACAAGAGGGGTCGCTATGAGTGCTATCTGACTCCACAGCAGTGAGTTTTTATATGTCTATAAAACATTAATTATAAGCACTATTGTTTTTCATAAGCATATTTTAAAAATCAGTTAAAAGTTAAATATGACATTCATATATGTGTTAACTAATAATTAGAAGTATATTTCCAATCCTTGAAATGTCTGACTTTTTAAATATAACACCTAATACTTGGTTGATTTTGAAAAAAAAAATTAGGAATCTAAAGATTATTACTTATTCCTTATATAAACATTTCTTTCCCCTCTGTCATTCCTAGACACTTCCAAATAACTTGGAAGTACTGACTTAGCACTCAGTGTTTTTTAAGCTTCAACAAGTCTGTTCTTTGAATAACCACCAAAACTGACAGATTATCAATTAATAAGGAACATAGCTATTCAGTCTTGCCAAGCTCTAAATAGCACTGTTTTATAAAATAGGAATAGGAAGTTAGAAATGAACAAAGATATATTAAGTACTGTGAAGAGACTTTTAAATTAGTAAAGCCTATAAGAAAATGAACTAAATAAAAAAATAGTTTTGTGAATCTTTCATTTGCCATATGAGTGGTCTCATAATTATTCAAAACACAGTCCGGATTAAAAATTTCTTGACCTTTGAGGCTAGAATTCAGTCCCCCATCAGTAACATAGCATATATTAATATACAACTTGTCTATTTCTATAAAAATCTTTATTTTTTTTGTAAGAATGTTATTTAAAATGTCTGTCATCTAATTATTCAGTAGGAATTATTTGTAATACTGAGCTTCTTTTTTGCCCTTTGAAACCTGATAGAATAGTCCAGATATTCAGACTGTAGAGGAAATGCAGTTCACTAAATTATCATGTGTCACTGAGAATCTTCAGCAGATTGGGTGAAAATCTTCAATTCTTAACAGGAGATTTAAAAAAAAAAAAAAACAGTTTGTTTTGATATTAACAGTATAACTGAAAAAGCCCTTTTCTATATATATTTTTTTATGTTTAGAGTTCACATTTGAAATAAATATATTCAGTCATCAAATTAAGTTTCATTCCCAGTACCAAAAGACGTGGGCCACTTGTGAACACAAAGAATTTCATTTATTGTTCAAAAATGGTGCTGAATTATTTCAACTTGAATGTAAAGTGTATTAAGTCTTAACTCATGGGATATGAACATTTAATTAATATATAACTGCTTGCTACAAATCAAGTGGCGTGCCACTTGGTATTGTAATATTTTTAAATAAAGATTTAATTTCTCCCCAGGTTTTCAGGAATCCTATTTGTAAAACATTGTCACTCTGTTGAAGAGCTCTTATTTTAAATACCCGTACACTGGCTTTATATTCTTTGTACTTTCATATTCTCTTATATGTCTATACTATCATTGCAAGATTATATAAAAATGCCTTGAATAAATGATTTCAAGAGTATATAGTGGTTTTTGTCCTTACATGTAAATAAATTATGGAAATTTTATTTTAGATTAGAGTATTAACACCATGATATGATTGGTGGTTTTGTTGAATTGCTTTTTGCATTAACAAATTATTTAAATAAATTCATATGACTTGAAGCTTGGCTTTATAAAAATGAAAATCCAGCTGATGTTTAAAAATAGACACTACCATACCTGAATGGAGCCTAACTTTGGTCACCATTATTAGCTACTTGTAAGGAAGCAGAGTAGACATTGTGAAAATAATCACACACTGCTTTGATTAAGTTGAATGTTGTTAGGTGTCATCTATTCATTTCCAACTTACAGTGACCCTATGTACAACAAAATGAAACAAGACCCTGGTCCTGCACCATCTCAAAATCCTTGCTATGTTTGAGTCCATCATTATTGCCACTGGGCCAATCCATGCTGTCGAGGGGCATATAACAACAGCAACTACTTTACCAAGCATGATATCCTCCAGGAATTGGTCCCTTCTAGCAACATGACCAGAGAAGTCTGCCAATTCTTGCTTCCAAGGAGCATTCCAGCTGTACTTCCTCAAATATTTGTTCTTCTAGCAGTCCATGTACATTCAATATTCTTTGCCAACACCACAATTCAAATGCATCAGTTCTGCTGTCTTCTTTATTCATTGTCCAGCTTTCACATGCATATGAGGCTATTGGAAAGATCATGGCTTGGGTCAGGTGCACTTTAGTCTTCAAAGTGATAGATATCTTTACTCCTAAATGCTTTAAAGAGGTCTTTTGCAGCAGATTTGCCCAATGCAATACATTGATTTCTTGGCTACGGTTCAACTTTCTTCAGTTTCATCTTAAACTTATATATGATCAGTTCATGGTCTATTCTATAGTTGGTCCCTGGCCTTGCTCTGACTAGTAATATTGAGCTTTGCCACAATCTCTTTCCATAGATGTAGATATCATTCAGTTTGATGTAGTAGGTTAAATCGGGAATATATATTCATTTATGAGAGAATTCCTCTATCTACAAATAGTTTATATAAAGAAAAACGCTGTTATTATAGCAATCCTTATTTAAATGTGCATCAAGTTAGCTGAAAAACTAGTAACCTGGGAGGGCAAATAAGTCCAAAACATGGAAGTATTTTGGGGGAACAATTTGTAAAGTTAAACCACAAAAAACTATTTCCATTTAAGAAGCTCTTGTAGTAAAAATGGTTCTTGGCTGGCAATATGCAGATTGAAGTTGTAGAACATCAGTGATACTTGAAATCTTCAATTTACTGCTCAAAGCCATGTTATCTGAAATGTTTTGCTTCTTAAACAAAAGATGATTTCCTCTCTCTCTTCAGTGTTTACTTATTAACCAGAGACAGGGAAGAGCAGATTTTTCCTTTTTGTCAGAAAACTTGACTGCCTTTCTGTTACCCACTTATTTGACATTTCTAATGCTAGCCACATATTAGTACAGGATTGACACAGATTGAATAATTCA